AACCTCAAGGCCAAGGCCAGTGACCTACGTCAGGAAAGAATAGCAAGCGCATTGAGTTGGTGAAAATCAACGCGTTTTGGGATTCATGTGAAATACAAAGGTTGACAAATGTCAATTCATGAGCAGAATGCAACAGATAGAGGATGTTGGGTTTGAACGGATCAGCGGTATTTTCTGTTATAAGGGTGACAGAGAAAGTGGTCAGTCAATAAACAAGCAAGGTCTTTCGAGTTGAAACCAAAATTATCATGGGAAGTGAAGGAGCAATCGCCCTCAAAGTCAAGGCCACAAACCAACCACCATATTTATAAAATCACAAGTTTCCTTTGTTTGAAACAGGGACGAAAATTGTGTCCAAATCAAAGCTTGGAAGTTTGAATTTGTTCAAATATTGTCAGCACAAAGGCAGTTGGAGAAGGGTAAAAATTTATTCGATCTACAGGAAACCTCCATGAGGAAAAGCATGGTTTAGGGGCACGAAATTTTGTTCGTTCTGTAGAGATCCTCCAGGAAGAGAGCATGGCTCAGGTAAGTTCATTCTCCGCTTTTCAGGACCATCCTAGATAATGGGATTTAATTTAAAATCTCTAAGGCCCTCCTGTATAATGGTATTCAATTTTAAAAGTTCTCGGGACCCTCCTGTATAATGGGACCTAGTTAAAATTCAAGACCTTCATTGATAACAAGATTCAGCGTGAGTTCTACCTTTAGGAAGTTCAAGTTAACTTTGAAGTTTTTCACTCTTATGATGAGATTTAATTTTCAGGGTACTCCTGGATAATGGGATTTAGCTTTTAAATTCTTATAGCTCGTAATAGGTAACATGATTCGATTAACACTCACAGATGAGCCCAAATACCAAACTGGGACAGAAAAGTTTCTTTTGGTTTATCTGTTTTGTTGTAATGACAGGCGCCCACCTAGATAACAAGGAAATACAGTTCAAGTTTTGGCAATCAGGTGCCTACATGGAGAACAAAGGAATACAGTTCAAGTTTTGGTAATCAGGCGCCCACCTGGAGAACAAGGGAATACAGTTCAAGTTTTGGCAATCAGGTGCCCACCTGGAGAACAAGGGAATACAGTTAAGTTTTTTGCGAACAGGCTCCCACTTGGAGAACAAGGGAACACAGTTCATGTTTTGGAAATCAGGCGCCCACCTGGAGAACAAGGGAATAAAGTTCAAGTTTCGGCAATCAGGCGCCCACCTGGAGAACAAGGGAATATAGTTCAAGTTTTGGCAATCAGGCACCCACCTGGAGAACAAGGGAATACAATTCAAATTTGGATAATTAGGCGCCCACCTGGAGAATAAGGGAATACAGTTCACATTTCGGCAATCAGGCGCTCACCTGGAGAACAAGGGAATACAGTTCATGTTTCGGCAATCAGGCGCCACCTGGAGAACAAGGGAATACAGTTCATGTTTCGGCAATCAGGCGCCCACCTGGAGAACAAGGGAATACAATTCAAGTTTTGGCAATCAGGCACCCACTTGGAGAACAACGGAATACAGTTCAAGTTTTGGCAATTAGACGCCCACCTGGAGAACGAGGGAATACAGTTCAAGTTTCAGCAATACGGCGCCCACCTGGAGAACGAGGGGATATAGTTCAAGTAGGAATCAGGCGCCCACCTGGAGAACAAGTGAATATAGTTCAAGTTTCAGCAATCAGGCGCCCACTTGGAGAACAAGGAAATACAGTTCAAGTCTCAGTAATCAGGCGCCCACCTTGAGAACAAGGGAATACAGTTCAAGTTTCAGCAATCAGGCGCCCACCTGGAGAACAAGGGAAAACAGTTCAAGTTTTGGCAATCAGGCGCCCACCTGGAGAACAAGGGAATACTGTTCAACTTTTGGTAATCAGGCTCCCACCTGGAGAACAAGGGAATGAAGTTCAAGTTTTGGCAATCAGGTACCCACCTGGAGAATAAGGGAAGTCATTTCAGAATTCAATTCAAGTTAGAAGTAGCAAAAGCTCGCGGCAAGAATGCGAGTCAACAGTCCGAGATGATCAACAGAAGTTAGTCACAATCCAGAATAAAAAAAAGAGAGAAAGAAGTGAATCCAAAATGCAAAAGTCGAGAAAGATGTTAACTGCTCAAGACGTGGTTGAAATCCCAAGCACTGTATATCCAGTCTTGTTCCAAAAAAGCTGAAGAGGAATGAACTAGCACCTGCAGCTAGCAAGCGTCAAGGTTTAAATCTAAAGTCTGCATGAAGAACCATTCAAGACTCAAGATAAAGCTTCAGAAGACTTATAGGTAGGAATTTTATAACTCATAGTTGACAGGCTTAGTTAGTCTTTTTCATTTTTTTTATTTTGATGTAATAACAGGACTGCGGACCGGAACCTCGACGGAATGGCACCTCGACCGGCTCTCCACCTCGGTATACTCCATCACTCTCCCTAATTCTGAACGACACGTAGCTTGATTCCTTTATAGCCAAGGATATGTAGGCAGCTCAGATACCAGGGTTCGGTCACATTCTCCTTCCTCTTATTTTTGGTCTCTCTAAATAAGGGTCGGGTCAAAAAACCTGTCTCGTCGTTCATTGTCTGAAAACTCTTCACGTTTCCAGTCAAAGAGAGGCTGCTGTAGACATGTGATTTTTGACCCTCCCCAAGATTTTATATATTTTAGTATGTAAATATTTATTTTAGGCTTAGTATCGATATTTTAAGTAGTTTTGACCATTTTACTTTATTTTATCACAAAAATAAAAATTACAAAAATATTTTTTTTATTTAGCAAATTAATATTTTATCTAGTTACTTTTAATTTATCTACTTTACCTAAAATTCAAAAATACAAAAATACTTCCACTTTATTTTTAGGAATATTATTTTAATAATTTTAATCTAATTCCATTTTTGTCTTTTAGTATGATATTTGAAAAATACCAAAATAGGTTTGTTTTAACGATTAGTCTTATTTTAATAGTTATTTTATTTAAGTAGGATTAATTGGTAAATGAAGTCGTATTTTTAGTCTTGTTCGCGGAGAAAGAATAAAATTTGGGCTCAAACAACCCATTTTTGACCCAATTCGGATCTAGCCCATAATCCTAGGCCCAATACCCACTAACCTAACCCTAAAACCCTAATAAAACTAGACCTA